ATAATGAAAAAAGCATCCGTGTCATTCTTAGAAGATTGGAAAATATGCTCCGGGAGGGTGATGATGTCGTGGGATGAGCAAGAATAAGGAAACAGGACGGTTGGGTCAAACAAGCACAGTACTTTCAACCAGGAGACTGGTTTGAGACCGGTGTTTTTTGTCCCAAAGTGTTATTTTGAAGTTACGTTTGTAATTTTTGTGACGTGTTAGATTGTTAAGATGTTTACATCTTTCTTAGTTTACTTTCTTTTTTAAGCCTACACTTTTTTTTTTTTTGCTTTCTTTGCAAACAAAGTTTAATTCCTTTTTAACTAACCACATTGATTCTATTAGTGTTATTATTTAGCTGCAAATGTCAGCAATGTTAATAATTTATGGGATTTGTTGACATCATCATCATTATCTCTGCCTGGAGAACTATGCGATCGCTCGCATGTCTGCTTGCATCCTTGAGTGAGTGAGTGAGTGAGAGTGCTCCTCTGTGTCTGTCAACAGCTAATCTAAAAAAATGTGGGTGGCCAGTTATGGCTGCATGCTTAAGGGCCTCTTATCCTTTCGTAAAACATTCATTCTGTACACATAACATCTATTGCAGTTCTGTCCATCCTGAGAGACAGATCCCTCCTCAGTTGCTCTCCCTAAGGTTTCTTCCTTTTTTGGGGGGAGGGGAGTTTTTCCTGTACCAATGTGAGGGTCCTGGGACAGAGGATGTTGAACAGACTGTAAAGCCCTCTGAGGCAACTTTGTGCTTTTGGGCTATACAAATGAATTGAAAAAACATATTGTATTGCCTTGATTATACTGCCATTGTGCTTTGTGTGCTTACTCATCACTCACTATACTTAACCGGCACTCGGCCAGTAGGGGTCACAAGTAATAACACAACTGAGAGCATCTTCTCCCCCCCCCCCCCCATCATCTTCTTTGGAACTACAAATACAGCTGACTGCATTTCCGCCACTCAGCCGCTGCTCTGCCTCTGCTTTTTGGACACAAACACATTTATTCTGTGCCGCACATTCGCAAGCATTTTGTGGGGAAAATATTGAAGCCTAAATAAATGCTTCAAGTTGCTGTTACGCCTGCACAGAGCCGGTGCAGGTAGACGGGGGTTAGTCAGTAGTGGGCTGTATTCATTCAAACAGACATACCTGGCAGAGAACCTGCACCTCTTCCCTGTTCTCCATGTTGAGAAATTATCCTAGAAAGAGTTAACCCCACACACACACACACACACACACACACACACACACACACACACACAC